TCATCTATACAAGATCAATTAGTTGTAAGACATTCTTGCAGCCCTTCCTACGGTAAAAATATCAGGATAAGCCACTCGGCAAGGACGGAAGGACGTGCGGGCAAGGTCTTGAAGGAAGTGATGAAGCTGCGTTGTTGTTTTAGGAGCGGTATCAGGGCATGACACATCGTTTCCTGTTAAGGCGATCTGCGCTTCCACTCAGTTTCAGCCTCGGGATTCAATCCTCTCTCGTTCCGTTACCACTTCTACAGTATCATCTCTCCTTGAAAGCCCAGATTTGTTCGCCGGACAGAGTGTATTCAGAGGGTGTATTCTCGTTGCGTGAGTTCTATGACCCTCGACGGCTTGATTCTCTGGTGTGCCCTGATGGGCGCCAACCACCTTTTGCCACGCTCAACTGCTCATCACCACCCCAAGCTCCTCACGTCAATACCATATTCTCGAAACGTATTCTATACCTTCTACATTTCCACAACAACGTATATACAACCGCCTCTTTCCTGGGTGATTCGTGTGAACTACTGTACTCCTCGAAGTCTAAGGCACCATAATTTACATTATTCTCCGTTATATATCAAAGGTTTAGTCCCAGTTCTTGATCTTCATCGTTCCGTGCTCCTCCAAGTTGATATGGAACTACATGATAGGACTACGTCAATGCTTTGGTCAAGTATTGGAACAGGAGAACATACCTTGAGCGCGTTCTAGAATTACAAAAAAAGACGTTTTGCATGAGCAAAGTACTTCTAAGGACGGTTAGATCATACCTTCAACATATGTGGCTCATGAGCCGAACCCTTCTTCAAACACTCGAACAACGCACGGTCATAATACTACAAGGAGAAAAAAACGAACATGAACATGCCGTAACAAGAAATAGACGCCCAGACAACGTACCTCCTTCAAGATATCCTTATAATCGGGATGCGCGCACTTCTCGATGATGATGGGAGCACGCTCGCGAGGCGACAAGCCACGAACGTCAGCCAGACCCTGTTCCGTAACGATGATATCCAAGTCATGTTCTGCGGATACAAGGTAAAAACTACGCCAATGGAAAAACAGTGACGACGTACCAGTCTGGTCGACGTGCGAACAAAATGGAACGATGCAGCTGATACCGGTAGGGTCCGTCTTTGTCGGGCGGCTATCAGCAAAATGTGAGCAATTGTCAAGGAGGACGGAGGTGAAGACGAACCTCGAGGGTGTGTGCATGATAGATAGCTTGGCATTTCGCAAGAAATCCGCAGAACCGCCGAGACCATTCAACATTCTTGACCCAAGAGCATTTGTGGAGTTGGCGTGAGCGTACTAAAGGGTAGAGTCAGAAAAGGTGGTATCGGTGTGGTGGTAAACTCACAATATCAACTTCCAGCGGAGTGTTCATCGCAATCACACCCAAACGCCTGATCAACTCTGGGGAGTTTGCAACTTGTTGCGAGCGTAACAAGAGACGGTCCTTGTATTCTGACCAATCTGCAGAAACAACCCAGGAATTAACACCTCGAATGACGGTTTTGATTGAATGGGCTACAAACGGGCGTAAAAGTGATCAAAGCTGGGCACTTATCAGTGAGGGCGGCTGAGGACGTTGAACATGGAGAACATACCCTTCTGGCGAAAACCTGATACTCGTCGCGGTGGCAAATGCCAACTTTCCACTGTCAAAGAATCGAATGAACGTGTCTTGTAGAACCTCCGTCCAAACTTGCACCTGCGAAAGACTTCAGTCGACTATATGCGCCGAATGGTGCTCAAAAACTGACCTGCTCGAACGGACCGTCAGCTAATCCGCCAATAATTGAATTTGCAACGTTTCCAATTCCGGATTGCAAGGGCAACAAATTTTTTGGAAGACGGCCGGCATCAACTTCGGACGAAAGGAACTCAATGAGATGGGAGGCAATGGCTTTACTCTCGGCGTTCTATGCGCATATAATCGGGTTAGAGTGAATCATTCACAACTTGGAAACAACGAACCTCTGGAGCATTGGTTCCTGTATTGTCCGGGTGGCGTGATTCGACAATCGCCACAACTCGATCGGGGTCAATAGGTATCGCTGTTAGACCGATCCTATCTTGTGGGTGTGTAACGACCTGAAATATGGTGAGAATCAAGTATAAAAGCGAATCGGGGCTAAAACGAACTTACATACGGGAGCCTATTAGGTGGCACGAAGGAGTGGTTGATGTCATGCAACCCCTCCAGATTGGGGAGCAG